TATCTAAACTAATTCTAATCGATTCAAGTATTTTTTCATTTCTGTTATATAGTAGGGATAATAGTTTTATACGAATGGATAAAAATACAGATTTATCTTGAGGAGCATATTAAATGCGATAATTAATGGTTTCACGACAAACTGGATATTAAAAGAAAATAAGGTTTTATGTATAGAGTCAAGTCAGGAAAACATATATATATCGTGGTATCAATTTTTTTTTTGGAAGCATCTTGGAATAATAAGTGACATCCGGAGTGAATAAGGTTAGTTGAAGATTCCCTGATGTATATGGAGCATTATACCTCGATTGTTAATACAAAGAGAATCTTTCATCAGATTTCTGTCAATAACATTCTTTTTTGTGGCTGATTATTCCTCTAGTTCGTCTTCACTTTCATTTATAAATGTGGTATTTTCAAAATACAAATTCGAATTATCATCAGGTAAGAAAAATAATATCAAACTTCATTATTACTTTATTGAACTGATTTTAATTTAATTCATTTCAGCTATTAAAGATTTCTTAAAAAAGTTCAAATATTTGTTCATTTATGTGTTATGTAATAGAGATAAATCGTTTTATACAAATGGAATAAAAAAATACAGATTTTGATTTGAGAAGCATCTCAAGTGCGATAATTGATATTTTCACGAAAAATGGTTATTATTGAAAGAAAAGGGGTTTTACGTATGGAGGTGAGTCGGAAAAACATTTATATATCGATTGATCTTTGGGGATCATCTTGGGATAATAAGTGCCTTCGTTTTCGCTATAATTGTGATGCTTCGGAGAGGAATAGAATTTAGACAATTCGGTGAATGCCTCAAATATTAATAATAATTCAACCTACTGTTCCTAATAAACCTCAAGATCCTAGTGATTCGTCTCATTGAACCTTTCTTAATGGAATTTAGATGTCACAACACCTTTGTGACAACCATCCATTGGGGCCAAGACATAATCTGAGGATCAACAGTATCCTGGAGAGTATTCTGTTGGTATTAGAGTAGTGAATTTTAACGGTTTATTGGTACCAGAATCTTGAGAAGTGGCGATAAGGAACCTTGAGCTTGCGCAAGTGATGGCAAGCCAAAAATGTTGCTTAAAATTGATCATATTCAAGTAAAACATTACCACCGAGTATACTTACATCCGTTTACTCTAATCCTAGCCCCAACACCACACCAATCTTAGAAAATATCATGCAAGACGCCCTAACCCAAGCACCATCGTAACCTAACCGAAATGCCACGCAAAAACGTGTTAATAGCGTAACAACAAAAAAGGAATTTATGTTTATTGAGATATTCTGGTAGATAGTAAATCTGGTAATAATCTCAATTAATTTTACCCAAACATTTATTGGTATTAAACGCTAAGAATTCTAATGGCAGTATAAATTAGAACCATCTGACCTAATGCATCGACTGACGGTGGACAATCAGCATACATTGAACGAACTTATCGCAATGCGGAATATTTCGAAGTGCCTCCCTACCACACTTGTCCAAAATAAAACATTTTTGATTAAAGCTTTGTATGGGAAGCAACGCAAAACATTTTTATGGCCGGTTGACCTCAGAACAGTTACCTTGGATACCATAAAGCTGCCAATTCTTAAAGTTTTTCAATTCCCACAAGATATGAAGACGGCGGACCTAATGCTACGTTTCAGCAAAGGCAAGGAGAGAAATTTTGAAAAGGGTTTGGAGAACCAGGTCACATTTCAGCAATACCTCAAGTCCTGCGCTTTGCAAGATTTTTCTTCACTCAGAATGAAAATTGGCACTATGCAAAAACTGTTTTCCAATTGGAAGCTTGAAGAGGTATGTGAGCTCTTTGGGCTAGTCCCAAATATTGCTAAATTTTCCACTTTCGATTGTAGTGTTGACAAGCTCGATTCAGAGAAAGCAAAGGATTTGGTGGCACATCTTTGTAAGGATCTGAAGCTCCGTTATAAGGCGGTATATGGTAAAACGGAAGCTACTCATGGTGAATACGTATCATCATTTCTCGTGACCGCAGCATCACTGTTCAATGGATTGGTAAAATTACATCCTCAAATGTATGTCGAGGGAAGTTATGGTAGAGGTTCACCCGATTTCTGCCTATGCCTCCTTGGAACAATTATTGGTGTGGTAGAAGTAAAAAAGAAGGATCTCGATCAAGGCATGGCTCAGGTAATAATGATTTTTTTTTTTCTGCGTACCATAAAATTTTTAACTTTGCTGCTTCCAGAATATTATACAGTTATACTCATCGCTCGAGACAAACCGAAAGCGCGAAGTTGACGGCCGATTTTCTGATAAGGTATACGGGATTGTAACCAATGGCCGAGCATGGTACTTTGTCAAATTTGTAATGGATGGCAACAAACCAAAAATCAGCATTCATTCAGAAATGCCTACCATTCTAGATTGGGCTGAAGAATCTGAGCCTTTGGAGAAGGGTATAGGGAGGATTTTAGGCCGAATTGTTTGGTTGTTGAAGGAGATGGCAGGAGTCCGGATCTAATAAATTAAAGTTTTTGGCAATGCGAGATCAGAGGGTATGGGAGGGAGAGGGGATATCTGTCGCATTGATCTTTTATTTGTACTCAAATCTAGCATATATGCTTCCCTTTAATATGAAATAACACATGATTCTAGTGATACATCTTTATTAAAGTTT